GGGAAATTGGTTTTACAAGCAATCTGCCGATCATTGTAACCGAGCCAGAGAACATTTCGTCTAAACTGGTAAGTACATTCACCTTTTAACCAAACATGTTTTTACAGTTTAGTAATTTACCATTATGAGCAATTTTTAATACATTTTCTGGATTTATTTCTGTTTCCTACAATTCTCTGTTTAGTTAAATATATCACAGCAGTTCCCAGTGACATCCTACCATGAAATTAACAAATCCCGTTATGCCATTATCTGAAAAACAACATACCTTAATTTAGATGTATTTATTTATCAAAGTAAGAATTGTGGAGAACTGACAAGAGAATTGTAAGTTTTAGTTCAAAATAGCTATATTGGAAAGAAATCTCCAACTCACTATTGGTCCTAATTTGCCTGTATTGATCTAAAATGTGCAATTCTTGCATTAATTTGCTCGAATGTCTTATTAACATTTATACTAATCTAAAAGTAATTATGATGTTATCAGAAAGGTCAAAGCGAATCATATTCAGTGTAACAAGGGATGTTAGGTTATTCATACCAACCTTCCAAATACTAGACATGTGTAGTCGTTTTCGTACGAATACGATTTCGTCCGAACATTTTTTTTTTCGTACAAACAAAATATAAACAAAACGAAAGGGCAAATACCAAATGCATTACCTTTTCGTGGCATTGTGTTAGTTTAATAGACCCCATGCTGAAGGGGAATTAGCCCCCAGAGCATGGAGAAAATAACACTGCGTATGCACAACAAAAAAAAACTAAGGAAGGAACCAGCAGCGCTACCAGCTCCCTCCTTGTAAGAAATATTAATTCCTACCCCCCCTCACCCCTGCATTAAATCCTATGGGGGTCACTATGATCCCCATAATAATATGGGGATCATAGTACGGCAGGTGGGGACCCTAATTAATTTAAGGGGTGACCTAATGTCCCAAATGGTCCCCACCCATGAGTGGCAGGTGGGGACCCTAATAAATTAAATTTAGGGTCCCCACCCACCCGCCGGTCCCCACCCATGAACGGTGGGTGGGGACCCTAAATAAATAAATAATAGGCGGACCTAAAGTCCCCCCCGGTTCCCCACCCATGAGCGGTGGTTGGGGACCACAAAAAATAAAGTGACTAGGGGTCCCCAAGCCCCTAGTCACCCACCTCTCAATAAAAATACCGTACCTACCCCCCTCACCCTAATATTAGTGGGGGGGGGAGGCAATAAACTAAACCTGTAAAATAACATTTCATACTTACCATTGATGTCTTCTTTTCTTTCTTCAGCCGCAAAAATCCATAATACGCATTGTAACTGTAAAAAAAATAAATAAATAAACTAGAGCAAAAAAAAAATCGATGAAAAAATTATCCTTCTTCAACCATGAAGGGTTTCGTGCAGAATGAGCTCTGCAGGTCCAGGAAAGGCTTACAAAGCCTTCCTACACCCTGCAATTAGGCTCAGAGCACTCTGATTGGTGGGTTTAAGCCAACCAATCAGAGTGCTCTGACAGGTAAATGTAGAGACTGACAGAGTGTTCTGTGTCATTTTAAACAGCGTGGGAAAGCTCTTTGTAATTTTCCCATACTGTGTAATTTGACTAATAACACTTTGATTGGTTGCTTTCAATTTGAAAAGCAACCAGTCAGAGTGTTAATTGATGCTGTTTAGGCAACATGCCCCTACTACACGGGGGGACCTGGCACAGGTAGGGGCATGTAGCAGGATTTAGCCTGTGCCAGGTCCCCCTTATTGCTCTAGTGACTGGGCAGCAATAGCTGACCAGTCACTAGTAGCTTTAAATTTGTTTAATAGTTAGGCGACATGCCACTAGGCCCCTATGATGGTCATAGTGATGCCTACTGATTTATATTTAGTGTTCAAAGACAGCGAGCAGCCACTGGCTGCTCACTGTTTAGGCGACATGCCCCTACTTGCAGCATGCCGTGAGTAGGGGCATGCGGGAGGATTTAACCTCCCTTTTATTAATATGGGGGTCATATTGACCCCATAGGTTGTAATGCAGGGGTGGGGGGGCAGGAATAGTTATTTATTACCAGGAGGGAGCTGGTAGCACTGCAAGCTCCCGCCTTTCTTTTTTTCTTTTTTTTTGAGCATGCGCAGTGCTGTTTTTGTCCTAATGGATTAAAACAAATAATTTTTTAACAAATTTCGTTCGAAAACGAATGGTTTATGGATGAAATTCGGGATTGACAAATGAAATTTTTATTTAGTACGTAATCATTCATACAAAATGAACATTTCACTGGTGCACATGTCTACCAAATACAAGGTTATTTTAAGACTATTCTCAAGATTACTCTTTGCCTCTTTAGATCTCTATAGCCCTACATCGTGATGGAACAGGAGGAGAGGCTGTTGTTTTCTGGAGTCTGAAACCTTCTGGTGTTAATTCGGATGCCATTACCCTGAGTGACTTAAGTCCTTTCAATGGTTCAGTGAAATTCTTTTCTGGACAAAGTGACACAACGATAAATATAACTGTTAAGGCAGATGACATCCCCGAAGTGAATGAAACTGTTATTATATCACTGGACAGGTATTTATTACTATTTATTGATTTCTTTTAGTACCAAAAACTGAGTTATGATAGTTTATCTTTCTTTCTCACTGTACATTAAGAAGTGTTCATTTGAACGTCTGTTTGCCTGTCATGATATAAGTAAGAGAGCCCACAGACACAGACTCTAAAATACAAAAAGTGGTATAGATGCCATACTACCGGGCCTTAGGGTGGCTGGACTTAACGTACAGAATAGCCAAAGAGAAAGCCAAGGTCAAGGGAAGGAGAAATCGGGTAAACGGTAGACAAGCCAAAGATACAGGAACATGGAGAGCAGAATAAATTAGAAACAAGCCAAGGTCAGTAACAGAATACAATACACATTATTGGGCTAAACAAGAACCACAACAGGGTAATTTGAACTAGAAATCCCAGGAAATATAAATCCATAAGTAATTAGCTGGAGTCATATGTGAGCGCCAAAAGACCCAAATTAACCCAACTTAAGACGTTGGAGCGAATGCTTATAAAGAGACGCACACGTGCGGCGTCTATCACCCTGTCGTTGCGCCAAGCGGGGGGGCCTTGGAATAGGTTAGTGTGACAAGACCAATCTCGCCACTGTGCATTGGAGGAGCCTGGTTGCCCGCCTGCTGCCTTTAGACTATGGCCCCATGTTGAAACGCTTGATTTTCCCCTGCAAAGACACGAAAGCCGGGTCATTCAGATCTTGCCCTGTTTGAGCGGTGATACCCCAGATAGTTATGCCATGGAGCCCATTCGTATAATAAAAGACTATGGGAAAGACTTTGGCTCCATGGCAATTGAACTGTATGTGTGTGATCTGAACGCCATTCAGTAATAATGTGTGCTCAGATCTGAGCTATCTGGGGATATCTTGAATGTACCTGTTTTATGCAATGGATGCACAATTATATATTTTTTAATGTATTTTATTGTCTTTTGCTGTCATGTGTTCAATGGAGCACATGTGCCTATGTCCTTGGAGATAATTGGATTACTTCCCAATTATCTCCAGGATAGAAGACTCTCTAGAACTGGTTTTGGGCAGAAAAGCCATGCTTCATTTGGTCACAAAGGACTACGATCTATCTTTTGAACCACTGGACCAATTTGTATGATTTTGACTTATGTTTGTATTTGGAGTATGCTGATTCTCAAAATGTAAGAATATTTTATGTGAATGTGATGCATACTTTTAAAATTATGAATAATGTGGAAAAACTGTATTTCTCTGCCTGTGATAATTACATTACCCATTGTGTAAGGTAATTGTATCACAGGCAGATGGGAGGATTTTGTATGGGAGTGTTTGAGTGTATTGTACGTGTTTATTGGTTGTTTTCCAAAACCCTGTGGGTGGTACTATGTATAAGAATGTGCATATAAGAACAATAAACCCACAGCTCTGTCTGTTCCTGCTTGACCCTCAAAACGGAGCCTTGTCTTGTTCTTGGGGGGGGATTTATTGTATGCTGTTCCAGTTCGACTGCTAGGAGTGTAAACCTATTCGTATGGTTTTTCCTGTTCGGCTGTTTACAGCATTCGTATGTTTGAGAGCATTTGTATGCTTCTCCGGTTCGGTGAATTGGTGTCTACAGTAGCTGCCCGTATATCTGGAAGGGAATATCTCCTAAACGGCATTTAACTCCTTTTATGCCCGGGGTGCCGTTACAGTTAGTATTACATTGTTTTTGTCCTTTCTATGTATCATCAGTTA